CGTTCTTGGGTGATGCCCTGCTCATTCTTGAGTGAGGGTGAGGAGCTGAGGAACCTGTCCTTGGGGGACGGGTGGGGAACATGGCTTGGGGTGGAGCCCAAGCCGAATGCAGAGTTTGGATCCCTGACCCATGTGCTTGTGCAGTGGGTTGGCCTGAGTGCAGGGGTCTGTGAGTCGCATTGGTGGCTGTGAAGGCCGATTGTTGGAGCGACTGCAGACAGAAACCCTGAGGGTTGGCAATTACCCCCAACAGAATAAAATTGCCAATCCCAGAGCTAGTGCATCCTGGGGGTGGATGCTGTGTGTGGCTTGTAGCCGAGACTACAGCCAGAGAAGGCCAGGAAGCCTGACGGCTCCTGGTGTGATATAGTAGATGCCGTGAGTGATTTCCCTCCCTCGTATGAGCAGTGCCTTCGGCAGCAGATTTGGTGGCTCATCTGCTGGTACCAATAATTGTCTTTTGCACTTGGTTGGGGTCCTGCCTGGACTTATTTGTGTTCTGTTGTATTTTGTTATATCTGATGTATTTGCTTTTGTGGGCCATGGCTGCATTGTTTGTTTGCTTAGAAAATTGTATATATATGTATAGACTGTATGGCAGAAAACCCTGAGGGGGTGGACTGTAGGGTAAAGAAAATGTCAGGCTTTTCTGCCCTTCCGCCATGAGGATACATGATGGATCCTTGTCCTGAATGCATGCCTGATGGCGGGCACCTGGAATAGGGTGTGGGCATAGGTAGATGGGATTCAGCTGAGCTAAGACTGTGCTTTTAAGGGTGGCGTCACGGGGACGCCAGTAGCAGCAGCAGAAGCTGAGAAAGAAGCCGATGAGAGAAGCCAAGAAGCAGAAGCAGAGAACGCCAGAGAGCCCAGATAGAGTGAAGACTTGCTGGGGGCTGGGAGGCCTGCCAGCCTCCCAGCCCCCCAGCCAGCACCCCTGCCTGCCATATGCCTGGTGAACCCCAATAAAAAATATGCAAAACTACTAAGGACTCTGACTCCTCCTTTACCCGGTCTGCATGGGATCAGAAAACCTGCCCTGTGTCCTGGCCTGGCCTTTACACAATCCTTGAGGATGTCTTTGAGAAAAGACATGAGGCCCCTCCTACAACGTTAGGTGCTGGCAGCCTCAACTGTGGGTGCTCTGAATTGGTAAGTCAATATTGTTCCCCCTCATTGGAACTGTCTCTGTTACCCCCGCATTGTAACCAAATTTGCTATCATTGTGAGAAATGTATTGCTTTGTTCATTTAGAAAGAAATATAGGATTCATGCAAGTATCTCAAAGTTAAAGGGCTAAAGGAACCTACATTCTTCCTGCAAATAACCCCCTCCTCTCTTTTTCTGGCTTTTGAAAGTTATTTTCATTTCTGTTTCTCTTAGGATTGCAACAAAATAACCTTTTATGGGACAATTGGGAAGGGTTTACTTAAGGAAAATTTACCAACATGGACAGGTTCAGGGAATGTTACATGACATATTGACCAATAATCTGAAGATAGTAATAGCATGGAGCTTCGGCATCATAGGTTTAAAGATAAGGGGAAGAAGTTACCAGAACTCAGGAAAGGCTGTGATTGTAGTTGTAGTTGCAACTGTGGCTGTAGGAGGGGCCCCTCAGACAGGGGCTGGATAGAGTAACACAGTCACTGCTGGCTCACAGCCTGGCAGGGAGAGAGCCAGGAAGTTAAAACTCAGTGTCTCCGCCTCTCCTCTGAGTGTCTCCCTTTCACTGAGAGCACCCAGGAGGCAGAGGGAGAAGGAGCCCATCCCTGAGGCACAGAGATGTCACCCTAGAGATTCAGGAGGATGGACGGGATGCAAATGAGGCCTGAGGGCAAATAGAGAAGGTCCATGTCTTCCTATAATCTTCTCATAGTTGGTATTTGCTGGACTTTGTCCTTGTGATAAGGTCAATTTCTTATTCTGTCTCATTTCTCATTCTGCTTGTTTGTTTCACTTCTTTCTCACCACTCCCTAGTGTCACCTCTTTGGAGTAATAGTCACATTATTATAAATGCCTTGAGAATGGAATATCGTTTTTTAAGCTGGGGGATACACGTATTTAGAAGTGTTTTGTGATGGCAGCGGCTCTAGAAAGAAATCCATTATAACTGTGACTTAAGAGAGCAGTTACTAGGACTAAACTGGTGACCCCAAGACATCAGTCACCAGGGACTCCCAACTTTCTATCCTCTACTTCAGAGAGGTGACTTCATCTTGTGTTCCCACGTGGGGGCCTGACATATCAGCATCCTCATTTGCATATCCTGGTATATCAGGTCTCATCTGCATCCTTTCCATCCTCCTGAATCTTGGGGGTGACATCTCTGTGCCTCAGGCATGGGCTGCCCAGAGAGAGAGGCAGAAAGGAAGGTCACAGGAGCCAGGGCCCCGTCTCTGCTCACCTCCGCTGGTGCAGCCTAGTTTAATGGTGCCAACCAGAATGAAGGGAGACTGGAAAATGAGGTCCATTTTCCACCCCAAAACTTCCAAAATCATTATATTTTGAGAAGAGGAGAATGGATGCTGGGGAGAACTGACGTTCTCTACCACCCTTTGTTCTCCCTTGATATCTGTGTTCATGTCAAGATTTTCTGGGAGCCTCCTCACACGCAACCAATGATGCAGCAGAAAATCTTGGGAAACCTTGGCCAGGCTTTCAGGAGCCAGGGCTATTATGGGGCCTGCTCTTCACAGCAAGATCTCAAGAAAACCTCTTGTTCTCTTAAAGCCTAATCTCTTCCTGTGTTAAATGAGGATGTTAGAACAGATGGTCTCTGAGCATATATTATTGAACAGCAAGAACCAAATAGGCACAGGCAGGTGTAGGTAATATTGAGCTTCCTATTTAATATGGGAAACAAAAGAATCAACGAAAAAAAAAAAAACAACAAAGATTAGAGCTGCAAAGTGTGTTCATTCCATGAATAAAAAGTTCAAGATCCCCTCACACAGAGCAACAGAGACTGTGCTTCTCCTCCGTGGCCACCAGGCCACCAGGACTGCAGGAACTAAGAGCACATGTGACACATGACGCTGCCCTTGCCTCTCTGCCCTGGGAGGACACGTCCTCTTCACACTTGGAGGCCTCCTACCACGTGAGTCTGCTGTGGTCTGGAGCAACAACTGTCTTTTCTGAGCAGGAAAGGGAGGACTTGTGCTTTGAGTCTTGCTCCTGGTTGACTTTTTTCTTTTTTAAAGATTATTTATTTATGCATACAAGAGCTGGGGTACAGGCCAGAGGTGCAGGGGGTGAGAGGATTCACCAGAGACAGAGTAGGGAACAGAACAGGCAGATGCACCGAGGAACACTACTGAGGGGAGCAGCAGGCAAATCAGGAGCGGTCTGCTGCTCCATGTGGGTTGCTCCCTGGCTGCCCAGGGATCGAACTCATGCAGCAAAGGCTGCGGACAGCTTCATAGGCTGCGTCCTAAGCCCTTGAAGCACCAGGGCGGCCCCTCTCCTGGTTGACTTCTAATCCTATCCCCTTTCTCCTGATTTGCTAGTCTTGTCTTCCTTGCTGGGTAAAATTTGCTTCACCTGGAATAAAGTCTCATGGTTTTGATGTTCCCCTTGGAATTTGTAGGAGCGTGACTGGCTGCCTTCTCTCCCCACTCTGCGTGAGCAGCTGACTCTCCACCCGGGCAGTGGGGCTGCAGGGCTGGCCGAGGACCAGGACCCCCACACAGACCTGTGGTCCAGAGCCAGGCTCCACGCCTGTTTGCATGAGACCTGGCACGTGTCCTCTCCTCTAGGTGCTGCTGTGTCCTTCCCTGTAAATGGGAAGAAAAGTACTTCCCTCGTTGAGCTCTAAAGAGAATTAAAAGAGGTTATACCTGAAAAGCCTGGACCAGCTGCCCTTGCTCACCCAGATGAGAGTCAGTCCACCTTCCCAAGTTGGAATTCAAATGGACATCTTTCTTTTCACCCCCAGTCTCCATAACATAGAAATGGGCACTTTTTCTATTTCCTACCCCTTTTCCCAAAGATTCTCCTTCACGAATGCGCCATCAGCAGATCACCCGCCAAATCATGAGGCGGAGAGGATGGGTAGTCTATCCTACATATCTCATGACAAATCTCTCACAAATATCCCTTATAAATGCCCATGCCTCTTCCCCCACTGCTTCCTCTCTCCTTTTCCAACCTACCCGCTTCTATTCCAAAACACTGAAAAATTCACATAAACCCTAAATCCTCTCCCTAAACTGTGGAGCACTTCTAGGTGCTCACTCAAGGTATATACTGACCCCTCCTGTGTTGGAGTCCTCAGACTGGGCACCATTAGCTATTTGCATGGGCATAAAGAATTTTCTGGAGGGCCTCCCCGGTGGTGGTGGCGCAGTGGGTTGAGTGTAGCGCTGTGAAGCTGTCTGCAGTCTTGTGGCACGGGTTCGATTCCCGGCTGGCCAGGGAGATTCCCACAAATTAAAACCCAGAAAGTGAGTATTTAACTGTCTTTTCTTACAATCTGGCTCAATGAAAAGCAAAGGGGTAAAGTTCAAGCTAGCCCCAAAGATCAGTTTCCTTTGAATTTTGAGATCTCAGAATATCCCCCAGCTTAATGTTTTATGGGGGGGGAAAGGTTTAATGATGAATAAATAAAATGATATATTTTTAAGTCAGACCTGTACTAAATCTCCTGTACTATTTATCCTATGTGAATCATATCTTTAATTTATTGTTTTCACCATTTTCATCTCTTGTAAGCATGGAGTAAAATTTAATGACCAGATACATAAACCTCAAAGCATCTTTAAGGTTTGAGGTAGGTTTTCTTCCTGTGGTTTCTGCTCACTTGCCTCTAGTAAACCCATGTTCTCTCTTCTTTTCCCCTTTGCTTTCCTCCTGATGCTTCACTCTGGACTCTCTAGTCCTTCAGGTTTCCTATGGGCGATTGGAGTCACATCACAGTTCCCATTATTACTCCAATCCAGGTGAGGGGGGTGTGGGGGGTGGGGGGAGATGGGAGAGAAGTCTAGTTTCTTGACTCAAAGTAGGACACACACTGTCATGCAATTTACACTTCAGAACTCCCTGCAAGAACTGAGAGTGGGAATACAAGCTTCAGAAACAATGACCTTCCCCCCTCCCACTCTGTAAGCAGTGTTTTACTTTACAATATTTTTGTACCTGTTTTCTTGATCCTACCCTGAGGGTTAGTTAGGAAAATGTAGGATTTGAGTCCGGCATTCATCGAGAGGCTGAGCCTTTCTGCAATTTTCACAAATAACACCAGAGGGCGCGCTTGTTTAAATCCTCACAAGCATCCCTGGAGCGGGGAACCAGCAGTCAGAGGGAGACACTGGACTTAAAAGAATATACAATCAGGGTGTGGTATGGTAACATATCTCTGAATCATATATAGTGTTGTAAGCCGTTGTTACCTCAATAAAAAAAAACTACTGGAAAAAATAGAATAAATAATCAGAGCCATTTAGGTATTGGCCCTTCCTTTTACAAAGGAACAATGCTAACAGTAAACTTACCTAGCAAGGCTGACACTGCTTCACCACTGATTAAATAGTCAAAAGACAGCCAGAAGAGAGAAAATGAAAAACCTAGGACTAAATATTACAGCTTCGTGGTGAGGGGTTCCTAGGGCTCACTGACATGGGAGAGTCTTAGAGAAGTTACCTGTGAGTGCTACCTTATGCTCTAAATATATGGCTGTCTCCTAAAATATTAGGGTCAGAAGGGGCAATAAGAGCATCCAGATATTCCTCCCTTGTTTTATTTTACAGATATGGAAACTGAGGCCCAGGGAAAAATTATTCTCTTTTCCAGGGCCAAATGACTGTCTAGTACAAGAGCCAGAATTAAAACCCAGAAAGTGAGTATTTAACTGTTTGGCTAATAGAAACAACCCTTTGGATTTTGGACAACCTAAACTCTATTGGTAATTAGGATTGATCTTTAAAAAATGAAAAGCTTAGGGCCTCCCCAGTGGCGCAGCGGTTGAGCGCTGGGTTGAGAAGCTGCCCACAGCCTCTGCAGCGCCAGTTCGATCCCCGGCCACCAGCAAGGGTCCCACATGGCCTGCAGACCTCTCCTGCAGCCTGCTGCTCCCCTCAGCAGTGTACTTCGGTCCTTCTGCCTGCTCTGCTCCCCGCTCTGTCTCTGGTGAATCCTCTCACCCTCCCGTGCTTCTGACTGTACCCAGTGCTTGTATAAATAAATAAATCTTAAAAAAATAAAAATAAAAATAAAAAGCTTATATAGATATAGTTCATCGATCAGTGGTTGCAAGAAGTGGGGGTGAGATGAAGGGAAATGAACCAGAAGGTACAAACTTCCAGTGATAAAGTAAATAAGTCATGAGCTATATAGTATACAGCACGGAAACTATAGTTAATATCATGTTGCGTATTTGAAAGTTACTGAGTCCATCTTAAAACTCCTCATCAGAAGAAAAAAGATTTTTTACTTATGTGTGGTGTGGTGATGATTGTTAACTAGATTTCTGTGGTAATTATTTTGTAATACATGCAAATACTGGATCATTGTGTTGTGCACCTGAAACTAATCTGTCAATGATTCCTCAATTTTAAAAAATAAGATTGGTCTTTTTAGAAGGGATTATAGATACAGTTCATAGATTGGTGTTATGCTTGCTCAAAAGAGAGAGAGAAGAGGGGGGGAGGTAGGATGAGAGAGAAGAAAGAAAGAGGGACAGGGGGAGGGAGGCAGAGAGAGAGGGGGGAGTTTCCTGACAGCTGGCCTTGTCTGCAGCCTCGCTGCTGCTGCTCTCCCTTCCTAGCAACTGCAACTAGGCTGCATTGTTTGAAGTACTCATTTTTTTGAAAATCGAAAGATGAAGGAAAAGCTCCTAAAACAAAAGGCATTTTCCTTCCAAGGGCTCAGAGAAATCATAATTCAAGGACAAAACAGTCAAGGGTAAGCATCCTGCAAAAAACATCTGCAGAACAATTAAGCATTGTCGATGGCACAACTCATCTCCCGGTGCAGATGGAGAGCCTTGGAACCCAGAACCAGAAGGAGCCTTGGAATGTCTTTATAAATGAAGAATGTGCCGTTCCTGGAGGGGAGGGATGGCAATCCCAACACAAATGCTTACGGAAGCCAGAGAAAGAAGCAAGCCAGGGTCAGATAAGAGATGCCAGAGATGTGTTACAGGAAATATATGGCTTTACCCTTTAGGAAAAACAAGAGGGAGACTGTTGACACTTGACACTAACACAGGCCCTGGGTGGTGGGAATAAAAGTAGGGACTATGACACACTGGATACGCCCTGCCTCCAGGGGCCACTGGTGACTCCAATGGCCACTGTTTCAAATGCATGTGAGTCTGTAGTTGCCAGATCATCTGTCATTTTTTTAAATGTGGATTTGTACTTGACATGTCTTAATTTTTAATGATGGCAAATAATTTGAATTGGTTGAAGGCCAAACAGATCCCTACTGGAATCTGGACTCCTCCACAAGTTTTTGCTGTGCATCCTCTGGACCAAGGTTCTATAGGGTGGGTGGGAAGGGCCTTCAAGGAAGCCTAGTGTTCTGTTTTTTTGTTTGTTTGTTTGTTTGTTTATTTGTTTGTTAACTCTTTTTTTGCATAGAAGAACTGGGGTGTTGGCCAGAGGTGGTGGGGGAGAGGACTCAACAGAGACAGAGTGTGAAGAGCAGAACAGGTGGACGTACTAAAATACACTTCTAAGGGTAGCAGCAGGCAAGACAGGAGAGGTCTGCTGCCTGGTGCACTGATTTTAACTCAATCATCCACTTGCTTCCATAAACCACTTTCCAATGGCCTGTTTCCTCCTCTGACTTATGAAAAGATGAAGGTATCCTAAGGTGTGATCTGACATTCTCTGGGTTTCTGAGTTTTCCTTGCACATGGAGTCTCCAAATTAGCAAGGCATTGTGGGTAAACCTCAGAACCTGAAAGCAAAAGGTCCGCAAATACCTCCTTCTCTCCAGGTCCCTCACCCACTTGAACCTTGAACCCCATATGTCCAAAACCCACCTTATCATCTCCCCAACACAAATGGCTCCCCAGCTAGCCTTTCCCTACCATGTGGCACTATCCTAGCTGCCCAGTCAAAAGCCTTGCCCTTATCCTCAGTTCATCCTGCTCCCTCCAACCTCATCCAGTCCACAAAGTCAGGTCAATTCCACTTCTTATCTCCGGACTGCGTTCACTTCCTCCCATCTCCAACACCATCATCCTAATGCTAGCAACCAGGATCTTTCAGCAGGATCGCTGCCTTCGCCTCCTGTCTCCCTGCCTTCATTCTTAGCCCCTCCAATCCACCACACTGCAGTCAACTGTCTTCATAAAACACAAGTTCCCAGCTTAACATTCTTCTGCAGTTGCCCTCAAGATGAAGTCCCCACTCCTTGACACCAGGCCCTTACTTTTGTTTTACTTTGTTTCTTATGAATGATCTGTATTTTATTCTATTAAGAAACTATGTTCCAGTCAGAGTTATTCTGATATAATTTCCATAGATTTTTCCATATTTATATGTAACAAATACAATAGAGAAAACCCAAACAACCTCATTAACTATGATATATTTCTGCTTCCGTGACCAGTTTTGTAAAACCAGTCTTCCAATGTTTAATCAAATCATATTGATTTGCTGTTTGTGTCCAAAACTATATCATTTGGGGAACAGCTTCACCCCTCAATATTACACGTGCTTCCTTACCCTCCACCATGGTTCTAGTGACTAGAACCCTTTCCCTCAATCCCCTTCCCCTTACAATCCTAAACCCAGTGGAGAAAATGAAGAAAAGGGTAATAGGGTGCTTCTAGGCACCACTCCTTCCTAGGACACCTGAGGTTCAAGTCCATGTCTCACCCACCCCCAACCTTAGAAACCTCTCTGAGCTTGCCCAGCACTAAAGAATTAAACTCGGACTCCCCCGGCGCTTCCACCCCCCCACCCCCACCTCACCCACCCCCCACACCCCCCATGGCCTTCAAGGCCCCTGCAGTCTGGCTGTCCCCCCATCTCCCACCTCATTCCTCATGCTGGCTTCCTGGTATGCAGAGAAGGTTCTACCTGGGCAGTTTCTCCCCTACTCTGCCTGGCTGATTCCTTCTTGTATCTCAAGGGCCTGCTCAAATGTTGTCTCTCTCCTCTGAAACCTCTAATGAATGCCCAGCGGAAAGTGGGCACTCCCCACCTTCACTTTCCATCACCCTTCTGTTCTTCATTGCACTTAGCAAATGGTGGAGAATGATCCTTTTAGTCATGATTTTAACCTGCTTCATTCAGTGTCCCCACCAGAATGCAAATCCCATGTGCACAGGAAGCTGTCTTGTTCTCTAACATGTACCCAGTTTCTGAAACAGAGGCTCTCTCAGAATATGCTCTCAATCAAATGTTTGTTGAATGAATCTGCTTTGTAGGAGCCCAGTGCTGTGACCACCAGAGAGACAAAGTTCCGATTCCCACTCTTCCTGAGACAAGTGTCTGTGATGTTTCTTCCTAGGATCGCCAGCCAGTGTCCTTGGCCTTCACCTTGAGATAACAGGCTGGTGTCTGTGGCTCTCAGAGGGTTGGGCCGGATTTGTGGCCAGCTCCTACAGGAAGATCACATCACACCCGCAAACACCCCAAGCTTCTCAGCTCCGGTTAGGTTCTCCTCTGACAAACCTTGCTAATGTCCTTGACTTTTCACTCTTCAGGCTTGTAGCCAGGAAATACAATACCTACTGGAGGTGAGCTCTTAGGAACAAAGGATGAGCGCTCCCTCTTTAAATCAATTGTTTTACACAAAAGCTCTACTTTTTATTTTTCCCTTCTCCATCTCAATATCAGATATTCCAAATCCTAAATCCTTAGGAATGGTATTTGGGCACTATTCCTAGGCCCCTGAAAGGATTGCCTGTGCTGATTTAGATGTGGGAGTAATGTTCAAATGTCATTAAGAGACCTTGCCAAAATCAGCTCCATGAATCCCATTTCTGCATCTGCTGTAACAATGACACTAAGGTCTCTGGTCACACGGACCCTAAGGGTCTGCTAGTTCTGAGAGCTAAATGCTAGACCGGCTTCGAATTCTTCATGGAAGTGGGGGTGGGGGAGGATAGAGGGGCTGAAAGAAGAGAACAGAGGAGGGAAGGGAAAGAAAAGATGAGCCAACATTTTTTTAAAAGCTTTATTTATGCATACAAGACCTACGGTACAGGCCAGAGGTGCGAGGGGTGAGAGGATTCACCAGAGACAGAGTGCGGAGCAGAACAGGCAGATCGACTAAAATACATTGCTGAGGGGAGCAGCAGGGGAGACAGGAAAGGTCTGCTTTGCTGTGTGGGTCAGCTCCCTGGCCAGGTATTGAACTCATGCCGCAGTAGCTGCAGACAGCTTCGTAGTGCTGAGACTTAACCCCTTGTGCCACCAGGAAGGCCCCTGAGCTAGCATTTTTTTAAAAAACGACCTGCATTGCCACCTTAGATATATTGTTCTGTTTCTTTCTCACTGAAATAATCATTGAAGTGTGAAAAAAAAATGTATTGAGTGCCTACTATAGACCAAGCATTATGACACTTGAGATATATCAGTGACCCAACCACAGAGTGATATCTGCCTGTGTGGACTTTATATTCTAATGGCAGAAGACAGACACGTAAAAACATAAATAGTGAAAATTTTAAGCACTTAAGTTACTAATTTATAATTCATAAATTTGTTAATGTAGAATTTATTATAGATTATGTCATAATCTACAATAGGACATATTATAATAATCTTATATGTTGTATAAAATACAGAATATACTATTATAGAGCATACATACTATACATGTTAGAGAACAATATATCAATAGATAGAATATATCTTATGTATTGTATAAGTATAGAATATATAGAATAGATTATAGATTATCTTCTGTATTATATAATGTATGGAATTTCTTATATATAGTATATATTCATAAATAAATTAGCCAGTATTAGCCAGAAGGTAAAATGTGCCTTCACAAAAGAAAAGATTATGGGGACAGCAGAGTGGGAGGGAAGAGTTAATGAAAGAGAGGGTTAATGAAAGGGTTAATGAAAGAGAGAGGTGAGACTGGGTCTCCCTAAGAAAGAGACACTCGCAAAGACTCAGAGGATGTGAGGGCATCAGTTCTATGTAATTGACTATTTCCCCTTCCTCTTGGCCTTCAAAAAGATCAGAACCAAATTTAAGGCACAAGTCCAGTACCCTAGAGGCCTCTATGGTCTGCAAATCTGTGGCCTCTGTCCTTGAAGAGGCAGGAGAGGGCAGTGGTTATGGGCATGAGTTCCAGAATCGGGTAGATCAAATTCTGGCTCTGCCACTTAATAGCTGTGTGACTTTGGGCGTCATATTTAGTCTCTGTGAGCCTCAGTTCCCTAGACCACAAAATTAAAAGAATGACGGCACCTACTTCAAGGGCTTCTTTTAAGGATCAGGTGACATAATGTGCACAAATTCCTTTATTTGCAGGAAGAACTCAATAAAACCTGGCTGAATTATTAAGCCTTGGTCTTGTCTCTCAACGTTTATTTACATTTTCCTTCATCCTAATACTCTATCTTTATCGATATTTTAACATTGTTTTATGGTTTCTGTTCCTGTGGTAAGCTACCTCAAATCCTCTGTGGATTGGTGTGGGTTATAAATAAGTAAATAAATAAATAAAAATCTGGATGGGAAACAGTTTCACTGAAGCAAAACATTTCATTAGAGGGAAGTGTAAGTGAGGCCAAAAGCATGAAATATTGAAATACTGACTCTCACCTCTAACCATCTATCAAAAATCACCAGCAAGACACTCTGTTTCCTCAGATCATCTTTCACCACCCCCACCTCCTCTTCCCCAAACCACTCTCCCTCCCTCCATCAAGAGGATACATGAGTCACACAAATGGCCCAGTATGCTTAAGTCCTCCTGACCTCACAGCTGCTTCATTGTCATGTGCCTCATAGAACTCATCTTTCCCAACATGAGGAGAAAAGAAATTAATGGGATCTATTTCCATGGGGTTGGGGTTAGGAGAGAGGGGTGCTGGTTCAGTGCACAGAGTCAGGTGTTGGTTAGAATCTGCCTGGAGCACTGGCTGCCATGTTTACCCCGCGGCCATCCAGACCAAGCATCATGGCCTGGTTGGTTACATTTGATCCTTCCCCTCTTCCCATAGGAAACTACTTGTGATACAAGAAGACCTAGCTGGGTTCTATGTCCTTCCTAAGAAGGAAAAAAAAAAAAAGACTAATCAAGGCCCAGTGCAGGGCCTGAAATAAGTGCCCTTCATCCACAAACATGTACTGACAGTCCCTTCTGTGCTGGGAACTGAGAGAAGAAACCCCGTCCTGGCCCAGGAATTCATTATGCCCTTGGGGAAAAGGACAAGGAATCACTGTCACAGTGGAGAGAAAAGAATGAGGGTGGAGTGTCCCTGGGAATATGAGGGAAGGCTCCGTGAAGGAGGTATTTACGCTGGACCTTAAAAATTAGGTGAGGGCCTCCCTGGTGGCGCAGCGGTTGAGCGCTGGGTTGCGCAGCTGCCCGCAGCCTCTGCGGCACCGGTTCGATCCCCGGCTGTTCCCCGGCCACCGGAGGAGGGTCCCACATGGCGCGCAGACCTCTCCTGCCGCCCGCTGCTCCCCTCAGCAGTGTACTTCGCTCCTTCTGCCTGCTCTGCTCCCCGCTCTGGCTCTGGTGAATTCTCTCACCTTCCCGCGCTTCTGACTGTACCCAGTGCTTGTATAAATCAATCAATGAATCAATCAATGTTGTATAAATAAATAAATAAATCTTTAAAAAAAATTAGGTGAGTATTTAGCTATCAAAGAAAGATAAACTCATGCCATTTGCAGCAACATGGATGGAGCTGGAAGGGATTATGCTCAGTGAAATAAGTCAGAAGGAAAAAGAAAAAATCAGATGGTTTCACTCATAGGAGAAATATAGGAGAACCAAACAAGGGATTGGGGGGGGGGGGGGGGGGAAGACAAACTAGCAGGCAAACTATAAATCAGAGACATTCAGCAGGGGAGAGAGAGGGAGAGGGGTCAAAACAGGGTAGGGAAGCCTGCAAGAGACTATAATCATGGTTCACCAGTGACTTGGAGGTGGGAATTTTATGGGCACCCCTGAAAGGAGAAAGCAAACATTGTACAAAATATTAACAACGATGTAAAAACATATATATATATGTATATGTATATAGAGAGAGACACACACACAGACATACATATATACATACATATATATATTTTTAAATTAGGTAAGATGGGGGGAGGGAGAGGACCAGAATTCCAAGTTGAAATCACAGCATAAACAAAAGGCTAGAGGTAGAGAAATAGAGTTTGTTTACAGAACAGAGTGGTCTGGTGAGACTGTAGAACTGAGATGCCAGAGGATAGAGGTAAGAGCTGGCAGAGAAGGCTCAGTGAGCATCATGGTCAGGAAACACAAAATAAAAGCAGCAATAGAGAAAATGGGGACAGTGGGCCTACAATCCTATTTCAATAGGATGGCACAGAAGGCCTCTCTGAGGGGGAGATATTTAAGAGGTGAAAAAATAAGCCAAGTGACTACCTAGGGGAAGAATTTCCAAACAAAAACAACAACAAAATCAGCAGTGCAAAGGTCCTGAGGCCACAGAGTGGCCCCCATTTTGGTGATTCACGAGAAAGGCCAGTATGACCGGAGTGGTAGGTGGTGAGGTTAGAGAGTTCAAAGGCAGGCAGCCCATGATAATCTTGCAGGGTTCATAGGCCATTTAGCTTGTGCTTGGATGGATAAAAAGGAGAACCACTGTAGGATTTCCAGGACAGGAGCAGCCTGATCTGCCTTACATTTTAAAAGGATCCCTCTGAGTGCTGTGTGGAGAATCAACTGCAGGGGGCAGAGGGTGGAAGCAGAGAGACCAGTAAGAAGGCTGCTGCAGAAATCCAAGGAAAGAGTATGATGGCTGGAACCAGACCGAGGTGTGGTGGTGTACCTCGGTCCCCCCCAAAAAATGGAGTTTAGGAAACCTGCCCCGTGTACAGAGCAACGCTTCAAAAAGCCCCACGGGGATGGAATGTCTGTTACCTCCAGCCAGTGGCCAGCCTAGGGAGTGTGGGATTGTGTGGCGCGTGGGTGTCCAGTCCCTGGTGCCCACAAGAAAGCCCAGACCGGGCGCTCCCTGCGACATGCGTCATGAGGGTGAGACCTGGCGGAAGGAGGTCTTGCTCCCCAGAGACTGAACTGGGGAAAGGCAAGGAGGCATTTGCTCCTCCGAGAGCCCTGGAGCATGCGGCACTGTGTGCACCCGGCTTTGCGGCCACTACGCTTGTGCGGTGTGGGCGTCTGGCGGGCATCATGCGGGGAGCGCCAGAGCACCCCCTCCGTGCAGCTCTCACCCTCGCCCCCAGCTCTGACTCCTTTGCATCGCGTGCTGTACCCCCTTCTGCCTGCCAGGCCTTCCCCCCAGCGGGCTCAGCGCGCGAGGGCCCTCCGGGGTCCCTCTGGCGGTCGCGAGAGAGGCGCAGCCCGGGTTCGGGGCTCCGGGGAGAAGAAAATCATGAATGAAACGGTTGCGAAGCTCCCTCTCCCCCGCCCTCCCGGCGCAGGCAACCTCTGCGCTCCGGGGGAGCCTGGGGACTCCGAGCCGAGCCGCCGGGGAGGAGGGGTCTTGAGATCAGGGTCGGGGATCACGGGTCTGCGATCCGGCCCCTTTCGGGCGCTGGGCGCCGCCGGAGGTCCCCGCGCCCCGCCCGCCGCCCCGCGGGCCCTGCGCAATTCCCGGGGAGCGGCCCCAGCCCGCGGACGGGCGCGCCCGGGGGAGGGGCGGAGCCAGGGCCCGGGCGGCCGAACCCACCCGGCGACGGCGCCCCCGCGACTCCGCGGCTGAAGCACATTTGGTGGAGCGAGGGGGGCGCGCGCGGAGCGCGGGACGGACGGACCGACAGACGGACGCCCCCGCACACGCAGACGCACAGAGCTCGGCGCGGCCCCCGCACACACACACACACACACACACACACACACACACTGGCGCGCACGCACACACACTCGCGCAGACACACACCGGCACACGCGCAGGCACACGCAGACTCGCGCGCGCACATCCTCCCGCCAGCCTGCCAGCCCGCTCGCCGGCGCCCGGAGCCCGCTCTGGCCGGTAAGTGGGGCGCCTCGTCGCGCCTTTGTGTGGGGACCCGGCACGCCGAGGGCGCGGGGTCCCTCCCGGGCAGCCCCGCCACGGAGACCTCCAGCCCCCGGGGCCCAGAAGCCAGCGCCCGCCCCCGCCACGCCCCCGTGGGGCTGCCGGCGCCCCCGGGCTGGGGGAGGGGTCCCTCTCGCAGGGCAGTGGGCTCGGCGCTGGGTGGCCGGGTGGGAGCCGCTGCCACTCCCCACGAAGCTCGCGAGTGGGGCTGAGGAGGGGTCGGGAGAGTCGCCTCGGTGCAAGCCCCTGCGGGCGAGACTGGTGCGTGGCTCTGGATTCCGTGGCCTCTCGCCTCTCGGGAGCTGAAGCCCCGCGGGGAGGTTGGCGATGGCCTCCAGACTGCTGGCCCAGACTGCCAGCCTTCCCTTAGCTTCACCACCCCCTAGCGTGTAGCTTAAACCACCCGCTTCCCATCCAACTCCCAAATAAAAACCCAGCGTGTTCCCTTCCCTCTGCAAGCCCCTTTTTTTCGAGCTGAGGCCCAGGCCCCTGCAAAACCTCCACACTGCCCTGGTCAGATCTCTGAGGGGCTTATCTTACCAAGGATCACGTGGCTTAGAGTGTCAGGACCAGATAAACCTTGGGAACTCCTTTAACACCCTCATTTTACAGGTGGAGAAACTGAGGCTCAATGAGATGGCTTGACCTAGGTCACCGGAGAGTTCGTGGCAAAGCCTGCATTAGAATTAGGATCCCAGGCTTTCAGACTCATTTCCCTATACATGTAATTTGATCCTATTCCCACTGAAGCCCCAGAACCCAAAAAATTCATTGAGTGTACCAGGAAAGTCTTTGTGCTTCCAGCCATGCCCCTCCAGGAGCAGCAGGTGCCAGTCTTTTGCTCAAATCCTGACTGTAACAAAAGGAAGAAGAAGGTTGGCCTTCAATATACCTCTTTTTGGTCTCCAAGGAGAGCCCTCTTATGCAGGCATTCCAGGTTTGAGATTTAGTTTGGGAGACTGAAGCAGCCCTAGGCAGGAAAATAGATTTCAGGGATTTCATCTGGTGTTCCCCAGAGTTACTAGCCTGTGTCCTCCTTTGGACCAGGGGACATGGCATTCACTGTTGCCCTCTCTGACCAAACTGCTTGCCCTCCTAGCCACCCTCACCTCCTCCTTGTGTGCCTAGGCCCTCTAGTTCAGCTGGGCTCCTTTCTTCAACCCTTTGTAGAAGTCCCCACTCCTTCATTTCCAGCCACCTCTTCCTCCTTGATGTCTGATGAGCGTGGCCTCTTGGTGTCTGACAAAGCTGCTGGGCAATCTTGAGTTACAGACAACACAAGGCTCAGGTGGTGGCTCAGGGCAGGGCT